TTATATATATATATATATATATATATATATATATATAGAAATTCAGATTTCTCGTTTTAAAAGAAGATATAGTGTTCGAAATCAAAAAAATATTCTAATTCCGTTGTTCAAAATTAAAAATTTATGATTCAAATCATATTTTGATGTAATATTTTACACCGATTGTTCAAAATTCAGGAAAAACACACTTCGACGTAGTCATATTATCGAAATAAGTTTGCAACTTCTTAAACTTTTAAATAAATAATTGAATTAGAACACAGTTTTTCAAAAACCATGGGGAATGGAAGCGTATTTTCATGCAATATGTTCTGTAACATGTGAAAATCAAACTTTAATGATGAATGGATGATACGAAAATATTGAAAAAAGTTTATATGACCATGTTTTATTAGAATTTTTTTCAAGTTATAACCATATATCGATTACAATAATTATATCATACATTGTACTATTATCAATTATTTTTAATAATATATTTAAAAATTTATTTAAAAGAATTTATTTATTTTATATTATTATTATATTATTATTATATATTTTTATTGTATTATTATTATATATTATTATATTATTATATTTAAAACTTATTAATTATTAATTATTTAATAATAATTCTTAATAATATTAAATAATATAATTGAAATGGAAGAAACAAATTATAAAGAAAAGAATATGTAATATATATACTCATGATAGCTTCGACTAAATTCAAAACAATAGCGGCGTTATTGGAAGGGGAGAAATAACTTTCAGTACGGCTTTAACTTTCGACGCGTTCGGAACGTTGTTATGTGTCGTGCGATATAATACTTTATAAATACGCGTAAAAATTCAATTTTATTTTATTCGTCATACGTTTTGTGATTTTTTTACATTAGTATATACGATTCTTTTATATATTATATAATGCTAGATTTGAAATTGATACTCATGCGCCACCTCGTGTGTAAAAATAGTATTAATTAACAATTTTGCTGCGCGCGCAGACTCCCGCGCAACCGCCATTAAAAGTAGTTCGCGTCGTTCGTCAAGACACTCGTTAATAATCTGCTCGCATCCTTAGTTTTTAAAGTTAAAAGTGCATAAATTAAGTAGTGTGAATGAAATAAATGCGTGAATTTTGAACAGTGCGCGTAATATTATTCGAATAGTGATGATTGTAGAATCGTGTTCGCGTTTCGAACAATTTTCATAATGGTAAGCAACTGCGTATTATTTTCATTAGAACATAAAAATCGTTATAATTTACGCAATATATTAACCAAAACGCACGTTTCTGCGAATATCGTCGAATTTTTTCGGTATATTTCGGATGTATCATTAACATACGTTCACACGCCACACGATTGTTTATATTTACGTGGTATTATAACGACAGCATATGTTCGTCGCAATTTCACGAATCGATGAGTAATACGCGATACCTTTTTTCTCGTTACAGATGGTGACAAGGACAAAGAAGATATTCGTCGGTGGACTATCGGCACCGACGACGCTGGAGGACGTGAAAAACTACTTCGAGCAGTTCGGCCCGGTGAGTACACATACCAAATGATTCTGATTAATGATGATGCGTAAATCACGACCACGTACACAACCGCGAGGCTCACGGTGACAAACATTCGACATCGAAATCGTATATCACCGACGGTTTGTCGCGTGTCAGAACTTGCTCGCAGTCGAAATCATCGAGCGTGTTGCTTGCTCGGTTTTCTCGTCACAGTACAGGTGGACAACCTGCCAGTAATCATTGTCGCGAGACTGTACGAATCATTATTATTTTCTGTATGCGTGTCGGACCGAACGACACTCGATCGATACGATTCAGCGTTTTGCTTATTTCACGCGCGTTTCTCTAATCCGACCTAAACGCAAAATTTGACGGGGTTATGGTGGGGAATGGGTGAAAAGCTTGCATTTCGCGTTCGATTCGCGACATTTTATCGTTTCAGCGTTTCGATGCGTTCGTATCCGGTTTTATTGCTTCGATACTATAATGATGTCTCGTTTCACTCGTGCATTTCATCGATGAAACAAGAGATGAAAAATAGAAATTATTAAGGAATTGAATTTATTAGAAATAATAAATAAGATATACTTAGATATTTAGATTAGTTTAGATATCTCTCAAAGATGAAAATCTTTAATTTCTGAATTAATGAATTAATTCTTTGCATTCCAAGCTTATTATTATTATTATTATATATTATTATTATTATTAATTAATCGATTCCAAAGTATTCTTCTCTTATAAATTCTATATATATACACACACACATACAACCAGCCTTAGAAGTGCAAAAAAGAATTAAAGATTAAGCCGTAGATTTATCAAGTAAATTTAATATATTCCTGACACAAAAAATATTAAATAAATCCGGCAAACGCGATAAGAAGCCACTTCCATCAGCGCCGCAATCGTAATCTACGAAATCGCTTCTCGTTTTATCGCGATTCTCCCTGCTAACTCTCGATATTCGTCTCACGATTGAATCGTGGCCGGCTGTCGGGGTCCAATCAGAATTTTGGCAGTTAAACCGTGGTGGTGGCCGCGTTAAATCCCCGCTGCACTTCCGCAATACTCTCGAGAGTACGCCCCTCTCGTCGCGCCTGTTAAGTGATTACGAATCGGTACAGGAGGACCACCTGAGACGAGGATTTCTGCTAATTAGCCTTTATCGACCGTTGGCGAGACTGCGCGGACCATTACGCGTTATTGTGCGAACTTCTCCGGGCTTCTATCGCCACCCGATAATAGCCGTCGCGATTCATCGGGCCACGGTGTATGAGACAGATAATGGCACTTGGGTTTGATTTATGATCCGGTGCCAGTCGAAATCGTTCCACGTTCTAGCGATAACGTAAATAGAATTAACGGTTCGGTAATTGGTAATAACGGCTACGATTTGCCTTTTTTGCCTCCCTTACCCATCCAACGAACGGGTATACGTACCCATTCCGGGCAGCACGGGTATAAAATCGACGCGTGCAGCTGGTTTCCAAGTTATTATGCAAGGGGAGAGAATAGTTTGTCCGGCACTCGCGCAGTTTATAGCCGTTTTATTTTCGAGTGTTCGCGTGGTTCAAAGTGGCGCGGAGTTATATATTTCGCGTGCTCGCCTCTCGCTGTGAATCCGTCACGTTTTGATCACCCACGCGTTTCGTTAGGGAATAGAAATTATTTCGTTATTCTTTTTTTTTCTATTCGCCGATTATTATTATTATTATCGAAGTTTACTACTATCTAGAAGCTAATTTTCATGGCGTAGAAATGTTGTCAGGATTTAATCAAGCGGAAGATAGGACGCTGTAACATTAGCTGGATTAAGGAGAGGGAAGAGAAAGACGTATCTGGATCGTCGTAAAAATTAAATAGGTTATTTCAGCGACAATAAAACTAAGGAGGAACTAATAAAACATTATGATTGTCTTTCTTTAATAAAACAGGATCTTAAAATGTTGTTAAAAATTTTATTTCGAAAATTTAATTTCAAATTTACGATTCGCGTAAAAACGTCGACGTTCCAAGTCTCACAATTATCTACCGATTTAAATATACGTGTATAAATAAACTCTGATATTTTTTTGACAGAAATGTATTCGTTTCGATATGAACGCGTTCAAAATCGTAATTCCGTAAAAATATCTAACTTTTCTCTGATCTCGTTTCGCGATTTACGCGTAAATTCCACGGGAAAACTAGGTTGAAATAGGATGAAGGTTTTAGTTTCTCGGTTGACATTTCTGGAAAGTGTCGTCTGGTTTTGCGCGCGCGAGATGGGAGCTAGATGGTTAAAATAGAAACACGGTGGAGAGCGGTAAAAAAAATATGGAAGATCGTCGACGGTTGTGTCCACGGTTCATGGCACGAGCCAGAAATGGATTTGAGATATCAGAGTCGAGCCACTATCTCCGGCCTTCCCTTGATTCATCCCAACCGGTCTCTCTCTTTTTCAACCTTCTCTTTCGTTGAAAGTCTCGTCCGGTTCCGAATGTAGAGTTTCCTGCCTCGCACTGCTTCGAGTTCGCCTCCCTTGTGTGCCTGACCCACATACGGCGATACGATCGGGCACACATCGCGACCAGATACACGTAGAAACTGCACGAGCGCCGAGTATGTCCGTGTATACGATCCTGGGATTGCAAATAGACAATATCGAAAACGTGTGCTGTGGTGAAATGGATAAATTGAGCTTTGCAAAATATTTAAGTTGTGCGATCAGGGATCGTGTTCTCTTTTAATCCATTCTGAAATTGCGGAATACTATTATTTGTTAAAGATCATAGTGAATTCTCTCTTCTTGCCACGTTTTTCTCTAAATTTCCACCTTGTTCTCGTGGGAATTTTTCAAAAAAATTCTTCCACTAATCTAATAATAGTGTATGCTCGTAAAAATCTTCTCTCACGTTTGATAAAATTATATTACATAAATTTCGTGGAAAATGAACATCGCAACATCGAGTGAAATTGGATTCGAGTTAGGTCGGTATCGTTTTCTCGAGTAACTTTTGAACCAAAAAAAAAAAAAAATCTTCGAACTTGTTCTCGTTGAATAATATATTTATCGAAACTTTTCGATCGTCTTAAAACTTCGACCAAGCAGAGTAATTTGAACGGAAGACTTGCATCGATCAAAAGTCTCTCGAATTCTCTCGAGTTCTTGTTCCAATTAACATACGAGTGACGTAAATTCGCCAGGACGGGCTGTATAAACACACGAATTGCATCCATGCACGAATCGCAAATACACGTAGATCGAATCCATTCGTATCCTTATATCGTTTGCTGGCCATTTCAGGTCAGTTCGGTTCTCGGCAACCCTCGATATCCTGTGCGGGGATGAAGAAGGGTGAAACCGAGATCTTGGCTCGATGAAATAGCTCCGGCACGAGCCGGCTGATAAAACTAATGGTATTGCTGATAAATTCGTTATATTTAGTTCCTTCTCAAGACTTCGGGATGGAACGTGAAAGAATTGCTACCAATTTCATCGATCCTCTGCGAAGTTATCTCTTCCCGCTGTTTGTCCTCGAGTTTGAACAAAAAAAAAAAAAAAAAAAAACGAAGGAAAAAATCCCTGTTTTTGATCTCGAATCGGGGACTGATTTTAATTAAAAGGCGATGTAGAAGCTAATCTCGGTATTGAGGAGCAGCACGGGAATTATGAAAATATGAAAATTACGCGAAATAAATTGGAATACGTTCTGATTAAAATTGGAATCCTTGGATATTTTGCATCTCGTTTCATTTGATAAATTTTTATTACATTTTCAAATATGAAATGTATCGAGGCTTTGAAGAAATTTCGATAAGATATTTTTGTTTAGTACCACAAATTTAAAGATTGTCTTCGTATGAAAATATCATTCGATCGAATATTCATGAATTATACAACATTCGCGTGTCGTGATCGTCGAGAAGTTTCTTAAAGTTATATTTTTATTCTTTAAATTTCAATATTTCTGTATCGAGTCTAAAATATTATAAACATCGTATAGAAACTTTACAATCTGCGGTTATATCGATTCGAAAATCATTGAGCAGAAATAAATAAAAATAAATATATCGAGGAATGAATCGACATCCAAGTTTCGATATTGTCGCGAATTTCGCTTCATAGCGAATTCCGTACCAAGTTCTATCAAACTTTCTATCAAATTTCGTACGTCATTCGTGCTACCTTTATATTCTTTAACCTCGTTTCTAACCATCGGATAAAGCGGTCGGAAATGTAGAAATAAAGGAGGACGAGAAGAAGCCGGAGAAGTGGAGAATGGAGAGGAAATAAATCTTTATCCTCGAAATAGTGGAGCTATGAGTTCCTCGAGTGAGCCGATGATATTTCCAGTAACTGCATTATATTTATTTGTATCGAGGGGGTTCCTTCACGCGAAAGGGGCAAGTTGTAGTATTGGACCGAGGGCCGATGGCGAACACCGATACGATCGAGGACATAAAGCTTATCAAGGATTTGCCCCATAAATTCTACCCTGATTCGATCGGTAGAAAAGAAACAATCGCGTTTTTCACGGATTAATGCCGTCTTATATCGGGCGTAATGCGTTTTTCGCGTTTAAATGGGAATTTATTCGACACGATTGCACGTTTCATTCGTCGGGAAGAAAGAAAACGGTTACGGCTCTATCTCCCTCGTGGATGCGGGGAAACTTCTTTCACGACCGATATATCCGAGATTTTCCCCTCCACGCTCGAATACCTCCTTCTGCAATTCTTTTCAACCTCGCCCTTCGCTCGATCGATAATGGTAATTGCGCTTAGAACAATCGGATACTCGAAATTAAACGGAACACAGGGCCGTGAACCGATGAGACCAACGATTCGAGCTGGGGAGGGATGAAAAAAAGATCAAAAGGAAAGTTCTCTGTTTCGTTCAAGAACTAGTTTCATGAATTTTTATGCGACCTAGGAACCATTGGTACTTCGGTAATTAGCCCGCGTGTAATTCACGCCATCGACGCGAATCTCGGAATCTTCCTTGTTGAATCGTAACCTTTCCGGTGGTGGACTTGGGG